GTCACTTTCTGTCTCTAGGCCTTTCCTTCTATCTCTTGATAGTGCCTTGAGTTTTCATAGAGAGAAAGAAAAAATAAAGAGGAAGGGAGAAGGAAAGAAGGAAAAGTAGGGGAAAAAAGCAAAGGAAAAAGACTAAGAGACTGAATCATGGTTGGGCAAGAGGTTGGGAATTTGGAGGTGTCTTCGTAACTTTTATTTTTATAAAGTAACTAGAGGCAATTGTATTCCCATTGAGGAGATAGCACCCAAAGGTACTGGGCAAATCCTTCCCCTAGGCCTGCCCTGCCTCGGTGTATAAGATGAGGTAAGGAAGGTACCTGGCACACAGCAAGTGCTCAGTACTACGTAGTAGCCACCACCCACTACCCTCTGTAGCCTTCCCCAAGTTGCTTGCCTCCTATGTCAACAAGAAGAGTCATTTATTGGGACTGACTGTGCAGTAGTGGTGGAGATTTTATTTGGGTCTTTGTGATGCCTAAAACAAACACCTTTATATGCTCCCAAACAAGAACAACAATTTCTCCCCCATCACTTGTGGCATGCTTTGCACTTTTTATTGGTCCATTTTCTGTTGCTATAACAAAATACCTGAGACTAGGTACTTCATAAAGAAAAGAGGTCTGTTTAGCTCACAGTTCTGGAGGTTCAAGAACTTAGCACCAGCGTCTACTCACCTCTAGTGAGGGTCTTTTGGCTACATCACAGAATGGTCCATGCCATCCATCTCACATAGTGAGACAAGAAGCCAGAGAGATCTAGGGGCTAGGATCTCTCTTTTTGTTATAGCCCACTCTTGCAGGAAATAATTGGGCTTAAACGAGGATTATATTAATCTCTCCTGAGGGCAGTGCCCTCAATGACCTTAGCACCTTCCACTGGGTCCCACTCCTTACAGGTGCCACCACCTCCCAACACAGCCTTGGGCCTAGGTCTCCATTATAGGACCCTTTTGGAGACACTCAAGCCACATCCAAACTATAGCAACAGGGCTTTAGCAAAGTGCATGAGATCATAAGCTTGTACAGCACCTTGGCACCACAGTGATCCTCCCCTCTATCTGTGAGTCACTCACCTTCAGGGGTCCCAGTGAGAGCAGAACTGCAGTGTAGCTTTCCCTTGGCAATATTGTGTGGCCTGCTTCTCCCTGACCACTTACTTTTTAAGCACAAACCACACCCCCTGTATGACAGCCTGTAACCAGCTCCAAACCTGCCAGTGTGTCTATGGGAATAGGACACATCCCATGCATTGACTGTTGAACTTATCTGGATGGGGGGCCAGGACAGTACCCCGTGCAAAGTGTTTGAACTAAATTCTCCTTTGCAAGATGCTTGTGATCAACAGGAAGCGCTTGCAACAAAATAGAAACAGTAAGCTTATACATGTGTTTGTATACGGTGTGTACTTACGTAGTCCTTGCTAAATGGTGCGTTGAGGATAGGTGTTAGTCTTTAAAATGGTTATTATGATATGTTACTATTTTCAGAATTTTCAAAAATTGTATTTTATAATTAGGAAAAAGGTTTTTTAAAAAATATTTTAACAATTGTGATAATCAACTGGCACTGAGCTCCCTTTGTCTTCTCTGGGCCCTCTGTGCACCAGGTAGGTAGACTGGTGCAAGCCTGGGGGACTAGAAGCTTATGTCATAAGCATCAGGCTCCTCACTTTGATCCTGGTCTCTGACGCACAGAACAAACCCACCATGTATTATCTGCCATTGCTCTGACTGCTGCTTGGAGTTTCTTCTTAGCATGCATTCTACATCCTTAGAGGTGCATGAAGGATAGACAGTGGACATCAGCAGGTGCTTCTGTGTGTGTCTTTGGGATCTGTTGAGGATGCCGTCTGCCATACCCCATAAAATCCCCTTAAAAAACACCCTCAGAAGAAGAAAAGTTGCTCACTAAGCTATAGAATTGGAAAAAGCTGAGCCTGTTCCATGTGTACAGGGCCGGTATAATATCCGATGAACCATACATACTTGCTTAGACTGCTAGGAGGCATAGAGCTAGATTTTCCATTCAGCTGTAGCACACGCATATGGTTTTCTGAAATGTGCTTTGTAAATTAACCTGGTACCTTGACTTCTTTGTTTTTTTGCTACTCCTACCTTTACTTTCCTCTGTTCCATCTCTCCTCTCTCACTGCCCAGATCTATTTCTGTTTGTGCCTTTTTCTCCCTGTCCCCCTCTTTCCATCTCTCCCTCTTTCCCTTCATTCTCTGTCTCGCACCTCTTTCTCATTCACACTCCCTATTTGTAGTACCTATTTCTATAAAAACCCCTCAAGCCATTTCTGATAAGACGCAAATTACCCACCAGTGGAGTAAGTTTGGTGGAGTCTACTCCTCACCAGGCAGTTTTGGAGGAAGGTGAGCCCAAGAGACAGAGCCGGGTTTTTCTGTAGTTTGTTTCCCTTGACCGACACTGCCACAAAGAATCTCAGCAGATTCAGGTTTTGGTATCACGCTAACACTGCAGTGTTTGACGAACTGGAAGATGACCAGCTCCCAAAAGGATCCCTTGCAGGACCCCTGTTGCTTTATGTTTCTGAGAGACTGTTTATTTTTCTCCTTTGTTGCCTGCATGTCCCAAACATTAGTGTCCATCAGAAACATATGCAAGGCAAATGTTACTGTATAGCAATTCTATCTCAATAAACCTGACTTAAAAACTCGCTGGGAGAGCTTGTCACACAGATTCTTGGGCTCCCTCCAAAGATCCTAAATGAGTAGGTGTAAAGCGGGGCCCTTGACTGTGGCTTTCAGACATGCTCTGGGATGGGAAGTTGCTGGTCAGTCCACAGGCTGCACTTGGCGGAGCTGGGCTCAGAGCCCTGACAAGGGTCTTCTTCTAGTGCTTTGTGGTTATTCAACACACTCATGATGGGACCGTAATTCATATGTCTCACTGCCAGGTGGCTTGAATCACCAGTGGTAGATGCATGAGTATCTCATAGAACAGTTTTTAAATTAGTTTTATTAGTAAAAGGACTGATAAAAGTGATTAGCCCCATTTGTACCACTGATGGTACAAGCCACCTGATGGGACAGTCACAAACGCAACACCAGTGGTTCAAGCCAGTGGGAACATATTAAATAGCTTTTTGTGGAGCTTATCAAAGGCCTTTTTTGAACATGAATATCAAATTAGATCTGCTGGTCTCTGGCCCTTTCATCTCCCAACATTTATTTGCTCCTTGATGATCTCCGTGAACACAGAGAAGCCAATGACGTGAACCACAGCGACTCTTCCTGCCTCTGTTTGGCATCCCCAGCATCCACTGCTGGGAGAAAGTCGGGCTTGCTCCTGACCTAAGTCTTGAGGTGACCATAGTCAGCCAAGAGCACTGAGCCATAGCAGATCAGAAGCTGTTGCTCCACAAGATCTTGCAAGCCTGGGACTGCCAAGGCCACCTGGTCCCAGGCTTCTTTGCTTATTCTCATATGGGAGAGTAACTGTCACTAAAGGATATTTTAACTGCTAGTTACACTTCATTGAACTTGGAGGAGGAAAGAGTGTCATCCTATAGGGCTTTTACATGGGGGAGGGGATTCATTAACATTTTAGGATTATAAGTGAGGCTGCCAGCTGAGTGGTTTCTACCAGTTTCATAGAGTGTAGAACTTAAGCATGACCCCAGTAAACGTCAGAGCCACCCATGAGGTAGATAGACACCCTCTCTTGAAAATACAAAAGCCAGAATTCGAATCCAGGTCCCTCTAACTCCAAAGCCTGGGCTTTTCTCCACTGCACATACCCTTGCCTTCCACATCAAGGGTTCAGTTGTATTTTCAGCCTCTGCTTTTTCTACTAGAAGGATACAGTTTCTAAAATTAGGGTACTTCTAGGAGGAACTCATGAATAGAAAGACAGCCAAATGAGTTAAACCATCAGTGATGGCCTAAAACTTCACAGTAGGAAATGATCTGCCCTTTCTCAGTGTGCAAGAACTCCAAGAATGTATCTTTTTCCAAAAACTAAGTGGGAAGAGACTCATTCCTCAGTTTCCCAGAACACAAGCATGAGTAGATATGAGCAGAAAAGCTACGGAAGCCCATCTGCTGTGCCGAGGTGCAGGAGATACCCTCTGCACCTCGAGGGTTACTTACACAGAATGAGGCTATGACACAGCATAAGATAAGCCAAAGTGATGCCTTTGGTGCTGGTCAACAGGCATGGCAGGGTGTTGTGTGACAGGGCCCCCTGAACTGGCTGGCTATTTTTATTCCTACCTGAAAGCAGGGAAGGAAGCCCCTGAAAGGTTCAGTGCCCTCAACCCCAGCCTATGAGCACTGTGGTGCCAGGTCTTTGAGGAGGATCTAATTCTGCCCCTTCCTGGCTTCTCCAATAGGACTGTGCTGCTCTCACATGGATTCCTTGGCTTTAAGTGACCCCTGTAGCCTCAGTCCTGGATGTACCACCAGGAGAAACCCTGCTACCAGTTTAATGTGTACCCTCCAAGATTTCCTCAGCTCTAGATTTCATTTGCATTTTTCTAGTTGAATCATGCTCTACAGACCACTTTGGAAACCCACTAACTTCACCTACCATGTATTGTGAACATCTTTTGCATCATTAACTATTCTGCCTCTCCATCAATTTACTAATTAGAGGCTCCCTCATACTATCCTGGTGTTCCACTTTGAAAACAGATCTTTATGAAGTCTATCTTTAAAAAACAGATCCCCATCACTTTGCAAAAGTAAAATCAGGTAGCTCTTGTGTTAAAACAATAAAATTGCTCGGTATGTTTTGGATTACACAGTCATTTGAGGGAATTGTTTTGTTGTCCAAAAAAAGCAAGAAAGCACATGATGGGAGTTCAGTGTCTTGTACTGAGATTAGTCAGGAAGTGAGAGCTTCTGAGGCTGCCCAGGGGAGACAGGAAGGCCCAGCCATCAGGGCTCCATCCTCCATGGTTGGTGGGGTAAGGGTCCTGAGGACACATGGGGCATCTATGCCCATATCTGAACCCAGTGTTTCTTCTCTCCCCAGCAGAACCACCTGTGGCTGCAGCGGTACTATCACATTTCAACGACTGTCCAGATTCCCACACTCAGTTCTGCTTCCATGGAACCTGCAGGTTTTTGGTGCAGGAAGACAAGCCAGCGTGTGTGTAAGTGTCTCTTAGTGTACTGTGCTTCCGGGCTGGGGATTGTTCAGCACCTGATTCAAAGAGCATTTGCTTCCACAAGGCTCGCTGGAGGCTCCCAGGAGCTCTGGAACTCAGCATGTTGGAGAATCAGAGAGGCAGGCCAAGGGCACCTTCTTCAAACCCAGCTGGCTTAAAACCCATTTCCAGGCCCACAGAGGTACGACCCCTGGGGAGACTGGAGCCTGGGCTCTGCATGGTACCAAGCAGTTCAGGTGACTCCTGGATTCATCCAAATTGGAAAATTACTGGGTTAGAATATAATTCACTATTTAGAGTTCTTAGAGGGCAAGGCCCTGGGCTGGGTACCTTTGGATGACCAGGCATCCTACACAAGGTCTCTCTACTCCAGCAACTTTTCAGGGAAGTACATGCAAAGCGTTCACATACGTAAGTGATCACATAGCAAAGAGCAATGTATAAATAACAATGCATGCCACAGCATGATGGCTTCCACGCCTGGCTGAGCCCACGGTCAGCAAGGCTGGGGAAGAAAGGCCTTCAAGGAAAGCTTCCCTGAGCCGGTGACAGGTTTGATGAGTGTGACAAGCAGAGACCTTGTTCCAGACCTGGAGTGCCGGGGTGGGTAGGGTGGCTGTTACAGTCCAGGTGGCTACAACCAGGAGACAGAAGGAAACAAGTTTGGAGGCCAGAGCCTGTTGGAAGTAAACCTTAATCTTCCTGGCAGTGAGAGCTACAAGTTTTGGAAAGTGACATTTTCAGACATCTATGCATAATTGAATACTATTAGGTAGACCTAGCCTCAGCCTTGGCACTGTGGATATTTGGAGCTAGGGGGCTCTTTGGGGGCTGATCTGTGCATTGAAGGATGTTAACTGTCTTCAGTTGTAACAAAACTGCCACTCCCTGGTTAAGAAGCAGTGATCATAGGAAATTGCCATTTTTATAGGTCAAAAGTCCGCACTGTTGTCTGGCCTAACCTAGTAGTACCACAAACAATACTGTTAATAAAACTATTACTTGTGGAGCTTTTGCTTCACGCTAGGCACTATTTGAAGCACAATTTGTGTGTTAACTCATTTACTCCTCATAATGACCTCGGGAGTTAGGCAGAGAGAGCTTGGGTTGTGACCAGGTCACATAGCAGAGCTTAGACTCTCTGGCTCCTGACGCTGACTCTTCGGCACAAGAGCTAAGGGCATTAGACGCACTAGCTCAGGAGGGACCAGGACAGCCTGCTGTGGTCAGCAGTGGTGGGAGGGCTTTCCTCATCCTGAGGTGCAGCTGGGTATCTCTGAGCCTCACCTGGAGAGGAAAAAGGGAGGCACACTGGCCACCTTCTTCATGGGAATGTCCGCAATGTCAGGACTTCCCCAAAGAAGAGCCCTCCCCACCCAGGAACACAAAGCACAGTGATGTTGATGATAGCAGACAGTGTCATTATTCATGATTATCATGCTTATTAAAATGCACGAGCAACTGCTCTTCTGCCCTCCTGAGTCTGGGCCCATCAAAGTCACATACCATGACATCAGGAATCAGGATGACTGGTTGTCTCTCTCCCTAGTTACATTATAACTATTCCTATTAGTAACAATAGTAAGCTCTCAGTAAAGCCATAGCTTATGCCAGGCATGGTACTCAGCACTGCACATACAGTCTCTCATGGCATCCTTATAACTTCCCTTTCCAGTAGGGATTATTGCCCACATTGTAGAAGTGAAAAAATTGAAGCTCAAAGAAGGTAAGCAACTTGCTGAGAATCCGAGAACTAGAAGGTGGCGAAGGTGAGATTCAGTCCCATCATTCCAGCCCCAAAACCCATGCTCTCAGCTTCTGTCCGAAGGGTACCCTGCCTCAGTTCTCAAAATTCACCTCAAATCACTATGCTTATTTTTCCCCAAGAAGATGTGAGCATCTTCCCCTTGCAGATAAACCTTCCTCCAGAGAAAGATCAGGTCATTTCCACGTGCAAGTGGAACCACAGGCTCAAGCCTGACCACAGGCTCTTAACAAGTCCTTCCTACGGGCCAAGCGCACAGAATGGGAGACAGCCAAGACAGCCTGGCAACCTGGAGAAGCTGATCACCTGGGGAAGGCATGACAATGCAAACAGTTACCACCCCTTTACCTCAGTTCTCCCGCTGGATCTTGGCAGCCCAGGGACAGCGTTCAGCCCAGATACGTTGTATGTAGCAGTAAGTGATGCTCCACATTGTACTTCCATGCCTTTAATTAGTTGTCAGCATTTTAGAAGTCAGGTCCCGCATGTCCCTGCAGAATAAGCAGAAGAATGGCGGGACTCAGGGGTGCCCACCACCACCACAGACAGGCTTGCTCTCCCCAGTTCTCTGGTCCCCACCTCTCTCCAGTACACTCCAATATCGCAGCAGAAAGCTGGTCTCCAGCACCTGCTTAGCCTAGCCACGTGGCTCCCTTCAGCTGTCCCATGACCCCTAAGAGCAGCAAGTATTCAGCCCCCAAGACAGGATTATCTGAAGGCCCCTCCAGCGCTGAGACAGGGGGCGGTGGGCACAGAGAATGACATAGCATCCCACGTGCTTATTGCTCTAAGGCAGCACAGCCTAGCAAGCCAAGTCCTTAGCTCTGGTGCAGGGCTCCATTTGCCTCCCTTGCGCTCCTGCTGGCTCCGAAGCTCAGGAAGACAGGACCACACCTATACCTTCTTGTATGTACAGTAACTAGAAGAATGTTCTAATTAATTCCCACTAGACCAGAAACTCTATGCCGTCTGTGCAGAGAAAGCCAGAACGTTCTGTCCCTGCTATTAAGAACCACCCAAGCTTTGGGAAGCTGACACATACGACATTCTGGTCAATAAAACTGACATAGCTGGAGGTACGGCCTCGTCTGTCATGACCTGATGAAGAACTGATAGCGAGCCAAGATCACAGCCTTGAAAGAGAGATCTCTTTCTCAAATATTGCCATCCTTAGAAGCTCTTCCATGAGAATAATCTTTAGGTCTCCAGAAAACTTAAAATGGCATTATATACCATAAAGTGAGGAAGCAACCATAAAACAAATATCTAGATAGTGAAAATCACCCCCAAACATTTTTGCTCCAGATGAGCCCCGGCTTGTCCATCTGCACAGTGAGGGCTGCCTGTAGTGAGTCTCCACTTGGATCCAGTCATTATCAGAAAACAGATGGGAAGAATGTGCCGAGACAGTGAGGCTATAGAAGTGGGACGAGGCTGGGACACCAATTCTCCCTGAGGCAGATTCCTCAAACTGTTGGTCTACTGCCTGCAGAAGCCTTCAAACAAAGGAAAACAGTCGAGCAAGCCACCCAGGTGACAGGTTGTAAGGGTTCTCATGTCGGCAACCAGAGGCAACTAGTTTGAAGTTTCTCACCTGTCCAAAACACTCCTCAGTGACAGAGCTCCTTGACAACTTTCCCATAGCGAAGCGTGAAAACACATTACCATCAGCCAAGGAAAACATTCCACATGGCCCTGGCCACAGTACATTCCAGTAGAATCTGAACAAACAGAGAGATGCAGCCACCATCAGTTACAAGCAGGCTGCCCTGTGACCGAGACTCAGTTGGCGGGGTTGGGAGGGATGAGTTCCTATGGGCACATGAGCCACTGTATATGGATCTACTTTCATCTCAACAACCAGCCAGTGGGGAAGGCGGGGCTGATTGATACGGCATCACTCACAACCGCAGGTCTGGAGACAGTGTGTGTCCTTGTTCTGGACCTGCCTCCCCCTAAAGCAGAGAGGGTCACCAGGCAGGATAATGAGGTTAAAGACACGGATTTGAAGGCCAGACCTGGGCGAAAGTCCAGCTGAGTCTCTTATACAAATGACTTAGCCCCATTAAGCCTCAATTTCTTTGTGTACAAAATGGGAGTGCTAACACTTTACAGGCTTGTAATGAGGGCTCAGTGACAATCCTCATAGAAAGCAATTGCTGTCCAGGCCAAGAGCCGTTAGACAGGTGGAACTGTTTATATTAATTGATTTAATTAATTAAGATTTAGCTTCTTAATCACACTAGCCACATTTTAAGCACTCGGCACCACCAAGTGGCCCATGGCTCAGATAGAGACTTTCCGTCATCGTCACTGCAAGCTCTAGGAGATGGCACTAGAGAACCTCCAAGCCCTGCTCCCGTGACAGTGTAAGAGCAAGTGTTTGCTACTGCAGCTGCTCTGGGCATGATCACTAGCATATCAGCACCACTGTCCCCATCACCATGGCTCAGGGACAGCGGTAGGTCCTGCTGAGGGCAGGTATGCCATGCGATCCTTAGCCCAGAGCAGCAAAGGGAGCTCTGCCTGCGGTCCTTTCTCCCAGCTGCAGCCTGGAGAGATTATCCCACTGGGTGAATCTAGCTCTTGAGAGGCTAAGAATTGGTCAGCCCAACACACATGCTGTTGTGCCTCATTTACCCACGCTCACCCCGGCTCTGCGGGATTGTTCATGTTAAAGGCAAGTAGGTGTACACTACATCTTCAAAATAGATAATGGATTTTATTATCTCTAAATTTAATCTTATGTGTAAAACATCTCTAAAACTATTTCAAACTTTTCTTGGACGCTTGTAGTTTATCTTGGAACCTATGCCAAAAGCCTTGGCTAATAATCAGGGTCCTAGTCTTCAGCCTAAGGGTACATCGCTGCAAATAAAGATAACATTTCAAGAGCACTAAAAATAGACCCATCCTTTTCTCCATATTTTTAGCACTTGCATAGCCCTTCTTTGTGTCGGGCACTTACTTCTTACACTATGGGAGATACTAACTCATTTAATGCTCATAACTCTATGGGCTAGGTCTTATTATTATTGCATTTTAAAGATGCAGAATCTGTGGCACAGAAAGGTGAAGTAACTTGCTCAAGGCCATACAGGCAGGAAATAAAGACGGGGTTAGGAACCCATGACAGTTTGGCGCAGAGTCTATGCCATGTGGAGCCTACTTTTGGGACTCTGTCCTTGGGACTAATCTCAAATACAAACAAAGACGTGTGCACAAAGTTATTTCCTGGCATTACTTATATCACAACTGGTTATGATCTAAATGGTAACAATTTGGTAAAGCAAATAAGGTACATAAATTACTGTGCAAGTGCTTTTAATAGGCTAGTAAAATAGTGAAGAAATTTTATATAAGTTGATATTTCTCATACAAGAAATTGTAAAAATAACTATGTTTAAAACTATAAACTTTAAAACTTTTGGACCGCCACTTGGAGTTAGGGTGCAATGGTTTGAGCTTTCTTGTTTCCTTTTTCTTTTTCTTTCTGATATATATACTTTCCAATTTGCTTAGAAACATTCATTTTCTAGTTGTGGAAAATTTGTCCTAAAGAAAGATAAAAGTTCAGAACATAGCTCTACATGCATGACTGTATTTCTCAGCATTTGAAAAGGGCACCGTGAACCAAGCGAAGTGCGGGACTTAAGAAAACCCTAAGGCTCTCAACAGAAGAAAAAGGCATTTCACAGGCAGTTGAATTTTTAATGTTAAAATAGGCCCACAGCCACAATGTTTGCACCTAAGAATAGCAGCAACACAACCTTTACACTGAATCAGCAACAAAGTGAAAAACCTCCGGGACCCATTGGCTGAGGCATTCACCTTTTATCCCCCGCCTCCATGGGTCCTTTTGCAGCTCCTGATCCTTCCTTGGCTTTGCTCTCTCTTTTTTTCCTCTTTCAGTTGTTTCTTTTCTGTTTTTATTGTAGGCCACCAGTCTGAATGTTGAGGCCATCAGCCTCAGTTTCAGAATTACAAAGACAAGACAGTGTTGCGCACTCTTGTGTTAGACAAATGGCTGTCACTGGCTCTCCAAACTCACTCTAGACAAGAAACTGAATGGTCAAGTGACATATGAAAATGTTCAGTAATGCGGCTCCCATTCCCCTTTGTAAAGTAACTGCTATTTGTTCAGATTCCTTTCTTAACTTGAGGGGGAGCAATAGCTACCATTTCTCCAGGATCTGATGTGCAGGGCCTATTTTATAGCCTCCACCCTGGGAAAATATTGAGGTGAGGGAGGAGAAAGGGGAACTGGCAGATTTGGGACTTGTTGGCTCTTGGTTCTGTGTGTTTCAGTGGTAGCCCTGTAGCTCTGAGGCCTGGCTGCTGGCTAGGAGCACCTGGTGCCCAGACCAATTAGATGAGCATATTCAGGGGTGTGGCCATGGCCCTGGCTGTTTCCAGAGCTTCCTGGGTGATTCCAATGTGCAGCTGGGTAGGAGCCAGTGCCTGACTGAGGTAAAGGAGAGGACAGCACCTGAGTCATTTGTGACTCATCTGTAGCCAGGTAAAGTGCCTCTTCTTCCTCTTTAGGTGACTTGTGCCTAAAATAATCACCATCATTAAATCTGACATTAATATGAAGCTTGAAAATGTTTTTAAAGAAAGGATATCACCAAACCCCTTTACTTCCCTCCCCATAAAGAGCAACTGAGAAGCAGGATATTTTGTAGAATCAGACCCTGCCCTCCAAGATGGAGCAAGGACAGTGGGAAGAGAGGGGACAGACATGGTCATGTGGGGGTTGAAAGGAGGGCAGGGGAAAGCCATTGAAGGAGCTATAGAAAAATGGATGGATGTGTGACTGGACAAAGAAATGAGCGTGTAAAGTATGTATTTTTAGAGAATGTGGTCTTTGAGGTGGAGTCTGAGGAGGACAGTAAGGCAGAGAAGAAAACAGGAGTTGAGAGTGGGCAGGTGGCAGGAAGCCCCTCATTCATTCTGCGGGTATGCCCTGAGTGCCTGTGTGCTGAGCACTGTGCTAGGTGCAGCACGTGGGGTTAATACTGGGTTTATGGGGTGTGAGGCAACACAACTTGGTGGAGGATAAGGTGGAGAGGGTAGATGAGGACCCTGCAGGGAGGGCATATCATGCAGGGGAACTTAGACACAAATCTGGAATGCAGAGAGTGATCAGTGTAGAGTAAAACCCTGGGGATGGGCTGGAGGAGGGACGTTTTGCCCAGTGTTCTTTAGACACTGACCACTTAGAATTCTGCATGCCTGAGCCAATTGCTAATCACCCCTCTACCTTCAGTCGGGTCTGCTGTCACTTTCCCCTGAGAGGGCAAGGGCCAGTGCCAACTAGATGCGCTGTTTCTCTACTTGGGCCTTTGAGTAGTTTTATTAAAATTAAACCAGACCAAACAAACAACACAGATGAGGCACACACCTGTAATCCTAGCTACTCAGGAGGCTGCAGTAGGAAGATTACAAGTTTGAGGCCAACTTGGGCAACTTAGACCTTGTATCAAAATTTAAAAATTAAAACAAAAGGACTGGAAACAGCTCAGCTACAATCCCTGGCTACATTCCCCAGAACCATGGGGTAAATAAAAACGAACACATGCCTGCCCAGTCTCATTGCCCTGAGCTGTGAGAGTTAGTGAGTCAGTGTTATTCAGATGTTGGCGATCTAAATTCTTCTTCAGGAGAAGCCTTGTAGTAGAGATTGCCCCACACCTTCTTCTGTGATCCTCCATGTACCAGGCCCTGTTCTCCATGCCCTGTTCTGTAGAGAACTACGCAGGGCCTTTTCCACCCCACCCGATTCCTCTCAACCTCCTTCCTTACCAAACACTGTGTACCCTGCAAACCCTGTGTACCTTGCTCAGTTAAAACTCTCAAATGTCTTTGCCCTTTCAAGATTAGGGACTAAACCAAAAGCCAGATTTGATCAAGGGTTTACTCTTAAGCTCCCAGCCCAGTCTTGATCTACTGTGTGGCCACAGCAGTTGGGGAGTGGGAGTGGGCCCAGACTCAGCAGACCTGGTACCAACCCTTTTGTAGTCCCTAGAAGATCAGGTACCAGGCAGACAGTGACTTGATTTTTGCATGCAGTGACTAAATGAGAAAATATATTTTCAATATAAAATCCTTAACCAAAGAACACATGCCTGGATTTAAAATAACAATTGCATTTAAATAAGGTAGGGAAAGCTTGTACACCTTATTTCCCAGTCTGTGACATTCGGCAAGTGGCTTCGAGCACTTTTCTTCCCTCTAGGGCCCAGTGGTCCAGGATCAGTAATAACACAAGTATAATGGCCCTGCGGCCAGCCTGGCACAATGGCAGGTGCCTCAGGACTGTTAATTCCCTTTTAGTTTTCCTTGTTCTTCAGAGGCCTTTTAATCCATAAGTGAAAGTTACAGTTGGCTAATCAAAAGACTGACTCTTTAAAGAAAAAAACTTAGCTATCATTGCTGTATGGAAGGAGAGACACAACTTCACATCCAGCCTGAGATGTGGACCTGTCCCTCAAGGAAGTCCCTAAAAGTGGCAAGCAGATATTTTCAGTAACAATTAAAAAGGACCAGTGTGTAAGCCAATTATCTTCTGTTGAAAAGAATCATGTGCTTGTGGGGAAGATGCCTGTAGAAGGAGATGCCCAACGTTTCATCCTGGCTGGGGCACATGCTGGAGAGTCAGCAGGTGAAAACTCACTGTGCGTGGCAGAAGGCTCTATTGCCATGAGTGAAACCAGGGCAGCTCAGACTGACATTGTTCCTTACCTTTTGTTGGTGATGCATGTACCAGCACACATGTCAACTACATGCACATCCATGTATGACCTTGCTTATGTCCTCATAGCACTGTAGTAGAGGTAGGCCCGGTATTGTTGAATGTGAGGACACCAGGGTTCCAGACCTACAGCAGCAAGGAGGTGGTAAGGGTTAACCCATCACCTTGGAGATGACCACCAAGACTGAACTCCTGTCTCCCTGAGATGATTCATGCCCCTCAAGGGGCCAGGAAGGTCTGCTGAGCCTAAAGGATTGGTAAACTGGGGGTGCTTACTCCTGAGCCCTGTTGGAGATGTGATTCGTCCCTGGGCCAGGGCTCCCTCTCCATTATCCCCTACCCAGGCTACACCCTAGGATATTCCCTGCATACCTGGATACTTGCAGGACTAATTAAACTTGATGAGGAGGGTTAAAAAAAAAAAAAGCTAAGCACATCCTATGTCCTCAACTAACTTAGCATGTTTACTCTCTCTCCTCAGAATTTCTCAATATGCTATACTTGGTTTGAAAATAACCTGCATCTTCAGAACTGCCAAAATGAAGATCTTCTCATAAACACCTTTGCTGCCTTTGTTTCCTACAAGAATTGACAGAGTAACAATAACACAAAGTGCTTCGCAGCACCTTTCATCCCCAGGGAATGAAGAGAATTGGTTTCTCTCCTCTGGGCAAGCAGTGCCTGTGGCAGGGGAGGAGGATTATTTTATTCCCAACATTGTTTCCCTTAGCAAAGGCTGGAGGGGTTCCTCTGGGCTCTGGCTCCCTGTGGCCCAGCCCTTCCTGATCTGAGGCAAAGGCCTTCTTTTAGGAGCATGCTAACATTCCTTTCTCCCCCAGCTGCCATTCTGGGTACGTCGGCGCACGCTGTGAGCACGCAGATCTCCTGGCCGTGGTGGCCGCCAGTCAGAAGAAACAAGCCATCACCGCCCTGGTGGTGGTCTCCATCGTGGCCCTGGCTGTCCTCATCATCGCGTGTGTGCTGATACAGTGAGTGTCTGCTGCCCCTCAGGTCAGATGCTCTGCCTGCCTGCCCCAGCAGGGACATGTGCAGCAGGACCTCATACCAGAGCCGCCTCAGCACGGCTGATTGCTGTGAAGTCTGAGTGATGTCAGCAAAGCTAGGAGGAACTTTGATGACTCTTGGCACCATGTGGCAGCCAAGCTGGGTCAAGGCCCGGAGCACCCTGGACAGGTCCCCTCAGGGGGTCTGTGTACTGCTAGAAGCCAGCGTCAGACCAAAGGCATGCTTCTTCTCCACGGTTAGGTTTAGAGGCTTCAAAATAGTGACGAAATAGGGTGGTGCTCCAGACAGAACTGGAAACAGCTCCCAGGCTCCTTTGGATAGTAGCAAAAGCACTTTCTGCAGAAAGAACTTTGTAAATTCTAAAGTCACATCAAAGACCACTGCTGATATTATTACGAGCTGACAAGCACCACTCTGCATGGATCTTCTTTCTCTACCACTCTGCCCTTGTTCATCCTCCAAATTCCAGCTTCTGTGTTGTATCCTCCAGGAAGCTGTTAGACCAAGGGACACCTCTTCAGGAGTGTCTTAGCCCCATTTTTATTTTAACCCGTATCCTGCAGTGCTCTGCGGTGTCTGAGACTGGGAATAGTATTGTGTTCCTAGCGCCTGGCACCAGGCCAGATTTATTCCCTGGAAATATCTAGAGTCCAAGTCACAGGGCAAACTGTCAGAGGGTTTATACCTCATGCGACAAGCGCCAGGCATCCATAGGTCAGCTCAGTGCAGGTTGACTCACAGTAGAGATGGTAAGTGGATGGCTGGAGCAAGCAGTTATATGCTAATGCCAGAAGCCAGGCTTTAGCCTCCTGGGGTCGTCTAGGTTCACACAGACAAATAAGAGACTCTGTCCTGTTGGTTTGTTGGTCCATGTTATTGGGCCATCTAAAGCACATGCCCCTGGTTCTGACAGAAAATGAAGTGCCACTTGGAGCTCCAACCTTGGCAGTTGCCACAACTTCTCGCCTCCTTCTCTTGGTCTGAGCCAGCACTAAGTGGGAAGGGAGGCGCTCCGAACGAGGTAGGCCTTTCCTTCCTCCTAAGTGAGTTCCACTCCACTTGCAGGTACCTTGGGAAAGCGTGTTTGCAGGAAATGGAAAAACGGTGTTGGCTCAGGCTGGGGCACAGTCCGGGCTATACCCATCACAGAGACCTTCCCTGAGAGAGTGAAAGCCACCTAACAGGCCACTGGCCTCACTTACCATGGCCAGCTAACTGGATGTGCCCACCTGGCACTTCTATAGCACTATTTCCATAGCCAAGAGGATCCCTGATCCTTAGAAAAGGCTGGGGGCCCACTTGGACCTCCTCAAAGGGACTTGAAAGCTAATTTTGCCAGGAACAATCTAGATACCTGGACAGTATCTCTTATTCCCCTGGAGACAGCCAGTCCCACCTCCCCTCTGTCTCTTCCCAGCCTGCCCCTGCCAGAGACTAAGCCTCTTTAGGCCGCTGGTTGCTGGTGGCCCTGCTAAGTTGCACAGTCTAGGGTGGCACCAGCTCCACCCATGCTAGAGGGATCTAGAGGCCTTGATTCCAAAGTCCTGGGACACTTCTGACTGGGAAGCGACCAAGGCATGCCTTCCTGGCTAGTGGCTACAAGAAAGGGTCGTTCATGGGTCTGGAATTAAGATCTTTATATTCTTCTGGTGTGAGATGAGCTGATCCCAGCCCAGACTCTGTAAGTTAGGAGGACCCCGGTGTCCTAGCAAACCAACAGCGGTAGCCTCTTATTTTCTACCTGTGACTGGGCGGGTTGGGCAAGATCTCAAGGCCCCTTCTCAGCGCTGCTGCCCAAAGATTCAAAGGCTTAGTAACTTTTCAAGCTTTGTGTCCCAGGACAGGGCGGAAAAAGAGGGGCTGGGGTAGAGACTGTGAAATGCTACCTAGCACCAAGAGAAGTACAACCCCTAGCTTGTTTCCTCATCTGCCTTTGGGCTCATGTCAGCTGCAAAACTTCTCCCAGCCCCAGTCTGCAGCTGCATAGATTGTACATATGTTAAGGTTTGAATGAGAGGGAATGAAGTCTCCGCTGATATCAGCTGCTGTTGTCTCTAGGTGGTTAATGTTCTCTGTTCTTCTTTTGGGTTCTGTGGTTGTTTTTCCTAACTGAAAACTGCTCATTACTGCCCACAGAGGGACGTAGGAGTCCTCTTAACCCTGTTGCCTCCCAGCTCCGGGTAACATAAGACTACAGAGAGATTGGATTTCCAAAACTCAGTTCAGTCCTTAAAGGAGGACTCAAAGCCCTTGTTAACTCATTCTTGTGTGAATCAACTCAGCACATCCAAATTTCCTGCTCCACTGCAGGCTGATACCTGATGAATGAACTCTTGATTCCTCACAGCCCTGCCAACCAGAGGGAGCTGCTTAGTACTAGTCCTCATGGTTGTCACAAGGCTCTTCCTGCATTTGTAAGGTTTATTAACTGGTTCTTTATGGAAAAAGAAGGTGGTGGATGACCAGTCCCCTCTGACAGCCAGGGAAGTGGGAACCAGGTGACCCAGCAACTCTAGAGCAGAAATGGTGTTGGTACTGTGGGGTAACCAACAGGTGCTATTGTTGGTGGCCAGAATCTACCCCAGAGGGCCACTACTCTACAAGGCCTTCAGCTCCAAATCTTAGAGGCCCCTGGGGAAAGGATGCTTGGGAGACCAGAGCTGCTCAGCCAGGACTTCCTACCAGGCTCTCCTGCCTCACTCCAGCTCAGACGGTCTTCTCTGGGTCTTTGCAGCTGCTGCCAGGTCCGAAAGCACTGTGAGTGGTGTCGTGCTCTCGTCTGCAGGCATGAGAAGCCCAGCGCCCTCCTGAAAGGAAGAACCTCCTGCTGTCACTCAGAAACAGGTAAAGGGGGGCTTCAAGGTAGAAGGAGCCTTTTCTTTCCTGGAAGGCAGTACCAGGTAGAGAAAGTGAGCCCTTCCTCCACAATAGGACCCAAGTTCCAGGACAATGAGGCCAGGAGGAGGAAAGGAGAGGCTGTTCTATTCTACTAGATCAGGTTTGGTTCATTCTAAGGTGTGTTTGATTTAGAAGGGAGCTCTTTCATCCTTGCTGGTGACTGTGTGACCTTTGGCACATCACTTAACATCATACTGCCTGTTTCCTTTTTAAAAGATGGTGTTCAAATTAGGTGAGTACAGACCTGACACACAAAGCATAATGCAGTGATGGTGGACATTTTAGAGCTTTCAGCACATAACAACTGCAGCACATGTGTCATAAGTTTGCCACCACTGGCGTAGTGTATCCCAAATTGTAGACATATAACAGATATTCACTGTCTTCCCACGAAGAAAGACATGTCCCCCTTTCCACTGGTCAATGGAAGAGTTTGACCTACAAAAGGACTCTCAGAACCCTCCAAACTTTTAGATCCAATGATTTTCATTAAGTCTAACATTGTTTTAGGAATTTCACTAATATCTATGAAGTAGATGGACATCTGGATATGGGTCCAAACTGGTAGCTTTGAAATCACTGACTGTTGGGCCCTGGAGTTGAATAATTCCTTTATCTAACCAGGTCCTGAAAAATCTCACCCACATCAACAAGCTATCCTAGGGTATACTTTTGTCCAAGAGAACCAATTATAAATTAAACTTCCTTTTGAGGAAGTACAGGATCAGAAGACAATCACCAAAGGCTAATCTACCTGGACTGTCCTTCCCTAGGCAGCAGCTGGCATTGCAGAAGCTCAAGGTTGCTTGGAAGGGGGTAGGGAGAACTGTGACTGGGATGTCAGACACTCCTGTGTTCATTAATTATGATAGTAATCTGGCTTGTAGGGAGCTGGAGGTCTAATTGTAGTGAGCTGGAATCACTTGGGTAAAGTTTCTTGTTAATGTTACTTCTTTCCCCATACTGAGAAGTTAGCTGTGAGAGGGAATGGGTCTGGCCTGGCGGAGATGACCACCAAGACTGAACCCCCCTCTCCCTGAGATGATTCATGCCCCTCCAAGGGGCCAGGGAGGTCTGCTGAGCCTAAAGGATGGGTAAACTGGGGGTGCTTACTCCTGAGCCCTGTTGGAGATGTGATTCATCCCTGGGCCAGGTTGTCCCCCTCCACACCTCTAGAGGAACTACAGGAAAGATCAAGGCAGACAGATGTCTAGGCTGAGCTTGACTCGGGAGCTGAGGATTCTGTCCATGCTGCCTTACTGTGCAAGCCGCAGAGGAGCCCCTGAGGGCTTACGTACTGAAAAATAGTGGGTCCATTCTTGTAATAGCCTAAGAGGAAGGTGTGCTAGTACCAGGCCCTTAACCAGCTCCTGAGCTGCCCACCAAGCCACCCTTTGCAGGGGACCCAGCCGCAAGCTAGGTTGACACCCAGCTACAACAGGGTGCACCCACCATCCCTATCCCCATCTCTTCTGCTACAACCCATTGCATTTTTCATCAGCCTTCTGGTGTCCTCTGGCCCTGAAAATACAATTGCAAAAGTTGCTGCCTCTGAGGTTGAACTAGCAGAATTGGAATTTGGGTGTAACTGCCCAAGAGAAACTGGTGACATTGGCTGATGCCATCTCCAACTCTTTGTCCCAAGCTCTTTTTCCCAGCATGGCAGGAGCCTGGCCCACAATGCCTAACATGTTTTTCTTTCCTCCCAGTGGTCTGAAGAGCCAGAGGAAGAATTTGGCCAGGTAGACTGTGGCAACCAATGAAGAAAGGCCTTCTTTAGGACAGCAGCACCAGGGGTGCCCGGGATGGGCCAGCGGACCTTTCCTCAGTTGCCCATCCTCACTTGGCAGCGTTTTGTCTTGTGTGGGCCTTCAGAACTTTGTCAGAGCTCTGTCTGCTTGGGGTTATTTGGTGTGCCCTGGAGAAGACATCAATGGACCACAATTTAAAGCCTGGTAGAACAAGAATTGCCAAGGGGTGGCCTTCCTGTTTGCCTACATCAGGTGTGCATCAGGCGGTGTCTGAGTCCGTGTGTGTGCAGTTGTCTCCTGCCAACCATGGATCCAGACTTTCTTCTTGATAGGCCACCTCCCCATGAAAAAATCCTTCCTAATACCAGAGATTCTATAGCTCTTGCTGTTTTGTCTCATCTCGTCTGTTAATCAGTGTCGGAAACGAAGAAGGAGAAGTGGCTTATTGTTACATGAAGTCATTGGGTTTAAGAGGAGCCCTGTCCTCTGACCACCAGACCCTCAACCAACCTGACATCTACGGACACATGATGTTGAAGACCTTCATAAGTTGTTGCTACCCTCAAAGACAATTTCTTATTTATTAGACGGATAATGGTTTTATTTTTAATCTTTTAAGTCAATGTAAAAAGCACACACCCCTTCAGACTTATACACTAAAGATGTAGGTTGCTGGCTGAAAACTTAGACTGATTAGAAATGACTGGCCTCTGAGACAGCTAAAACCAGAGGCTACAGAAATGGAACCAGCGGATGGTTCTGATAGGAGTGAGAATCACGGCCCAGAGGTCATGCCATCAAGAACACAGAAAAGCAGGAAAATGCCCTGATACATTCAGCTGGAAAACTTAGCAACTCCAGGAGGGATCTGGCCCCTCTGCTGGGGAGAGAGGACAAGAGACCTCATGTGTGTGACACATGTAAACACAACACATGCTCTACTGCTTGGTAATTAAATGGTTTAACTTGTGAGCCCAGCTTGGGCATTAGCAGCCAGCATTTCAGGCTGAATCTATGAAAGGGGACCAATCCTTTATTTTCCATTTTGTTCCTTGGTTGGTTTGTTGCTTTATTTTAAAGGAGAAATTTAAGTTTCCTATTTATTTTTAAGCATTAAGAGAACTCTTCCAGTGGGTTTTTTTTTTTTTCCTTTCCATTCAGAATGCCGGTTTTGTGAACAAAAGCACTAACAAGCCTCTTACTTTCCCCTCAAGAGGAGTAGAAATTGTTCTCCTGAGCACTTGAGAACACTCTGACCTGCTGGGCCAGCCTGTGGAAAGCAGTGTGTCCCTTCAAATGATCAGCTGGGAGTTCATCCTTCAGAACTTTCATTAAAAGTTGGAAACAGAATGACAACGAAATCATATATACAATATTCATGTGAAGAAACTATTCACTACTATTTAAGAAGTGAAAGATTTTCACCTTTTAGCCCTCAGTGCATCTAACTTACCATGCCTTGCAAGGGTCTTTGGCATGTCAAGTTGATTTTTACTGGGAAATTTTGTCATCCCACTAATTATTCTTCCCTAATCTTTTTCTGTGAATATCTGGTTTTTACAATCAAGGCGATGATCTCACTTGTGGCTTAAGTTTGGCATTTATTTAATGGTGCCACACCAGAGGCATCAAATGCAAAAGTTGAGTCTGTCGGAGCCAGCCCCTAACAGTGCAGCTGGCATCACTCCAGGTTTTTAAACTATTAAAGAAAATAGGTGCCAGTTTGGATACCTTGGGTCAATCCTATTAGCAGCAGATATGTGAGCCAAGGCTTGGCTAAGGCCCCCTGCTCAGACACCAAGCAATTGACCCTGGTTTTAGACCCTAGTATGCCCTCAGCTTTCTTATCAGAGTCCCTGAAGTCTCAGATTCTGGCTTAGAGAGACCAATGAAAGTAGAGGAGGGGCTGGGGATTTAGCTCAGCGGCAAAAGCGCCTGCCTGGCAAGCGCAAGGTCGTGAGTTCGGTTCCCGGTACCGGAGAAAATCCAAAAAAAAAAGAAAGTAGAGGAGCATGACTTGTTTATAACTTGAGTTCCCCTTTTTTTCTTTAAGACAATCTTTTCCTGGCTTGAGAGAGGTCTGATCGCTTTTAAAGGAGTATAGATTGATGTGAAAATGTGTCTCGGAGCTTCCTTCACCTCATGGGTGAATGATTAGCGTCCACCTGAAAATGCTATCAGTAGCTGGCATCCAAGAGACTTCGCAGAGGTGCAAGAAAATAGTGATGGACAGAAGGTGGAAGCCAAGGCTCCCGGTGAGGACCTCAGATTTAGTGTCTGTGAATTCTCTGGTTCTAGGGTTCAGCTGCTTCCAGCTGCTGGGGCTCCCTTCCTTGTGCCTGTACATCCATTGAACTCAAATGTGTGCCCTTCAGAAATACCTTCTGGATTAGTCCTTGTAAGCCAGCAGGTCTGAGGCTGGGTTGAGTGGGCTTGATTGGACCATTGTCCATGTCTGAGGATAGAATAGCCTTATTGTTTTGATAATTTCTCTTTGGGAAATCAAATGAAGACAAGCACTGGATCCCCATACCATTTATTGGCAGGGGTCGGTCTTTGGTTAACTATAAAAATGCTCTTTTTAGGCTTAAAGTGCATCTTGTAAGCTATCTCTGCAAAATCCTTGTGTCCTTGCCCTTCAGAAAGCCAAGCGTTTCCTATGATTAAGGAACTGTTCAAGAGGCCTGACCTGCTAAGCAGTGGTGCAGTGGAGAATGTAACTCTTCCAGAATGTAACTGTCCCAGAAAAGACTTTAGATAAAGACCTCCAAACCTTTAACGGGGCCTGCATTTCCCCACTGCCCTATAGGCTGCGACAGTAAACACACTGGCAGGAAACTACATAGAAGAATACACAGCAGCCAAATCCAAACTGGAAGTTAGGGTCCAGGTAGATACATGTGAGGAAAAGCAAGGGGTGAGTTGATTATGTGTCCCAGCAGAAGAGGTAGGTACGGTGGCCCTAAGATCCTTTTTCCTGAGCAAGGAGAAGGGAGGGATTGACACTCACCCATGCACACTGATGAGGGAGAAGGATTTGTGGTTCTAGAACTTCTTGGGAAGAAATGTTCTTTGCAGGTATAGAAAACTGCCTGGTGTCTCCAAGCCAGTTTCCCAAAGCCTGTGAGCTCCTGGTGTTTTTTCCAGGCAACTTGGCAAGAATAGACCAATGATGCCCTAACGCTACTCAGGAGGCCTCAGCCCCTTAGTAGGTTCTGGACTTTCAGCTCTCCCAGCATGCCCAGCCTTGGGGAGAGGAATGATTCAACACCCCAGGACCAGGGTACTTCACGAAAACCACATGTGTTTGTTTTCAGTGTTTTAACATAAGACGTGTCCTCTCTAGCCATTGAGCTTACCAGACTTTTTGAAAGACGTAATGGTATACATGAACACACACACACACACACACACACACACACACACACACATACAGTACTGAAAAGCAACCCCTCTTCCTACTGTAATAACTTACCAAAATGTTCAACTTTTCATTACCTTTATTATACAAACCTGATGCTTTTTTTAGAACTCATTACTCTGACTTCTGTATATGTTGCACTGAGAAGGTTAATATTTAATGTCTTAATTTATTTTGTGTGGTAAGTTAATTTTGATTTCTGTAATGTGTTAATGTGATTAGCAGCTATTTTCCTTAATATCTGAATTATACTTAAAGAATAGTGAGCAATATAAGATGCAGTTGTCTTTTTCAGAAATGTGCATTGCTGTTCAGTTGTGCTGTACCTTGTTTGGAAGGATGAAGGAATGAATTCTTTTTTTTTCCTAAATCGAGACTGGAGTTTTTCTTTAACGTAATTAGGATATTGCTGAAACAAATGAATTTTTTCTGTGAATGTGAACTCGAGAAAAAAGTAGATAATCTTTTGCAAAATGTGCAAAACCTGAACATAACCATGGTTGGCTGCTGTCTGCTTGAAAATGTCAAGTTCTCTGAAGTTCTTCCCAATCTCTAAGTATTTAACCTACCGTGTGTTCAACAACCCTAACTGATGTGTAAGAAAAAAATATAACATACAGTCCCTGCCCCAAAGGAATGGACATCTGGCTGGGAAGACAGACTGTCACGCAGAAAATAATTCTGGACTATTTCTCAGCAAAATTCAAATCACAAAATTTTAAGGTAGAGAGTATATGTTAATAACTGTGAGTCTCAAAAATGTAGTCCCAAATTAGCCGCATTGGTGAGGCCAAAGACCTTATTAGGAATGCAAACCCTCAGGTCCCAGCCCAGACCTACCAAACTCTTAAGGGTGGCCCTCCAGGTGATTCTGATGCATGTTCGAATTTGAGAACCATAGTGCTGTAGGGCCCGATGAAGGGACAATTTTGGGTGTAGGGCTATGTTTTTAGGAAAAGCTCTATGGAATCTTTGCAGAGAGAGTAAAACAGTTTATCCCTTTGGGTTCAAGTGTAATAGCCATCAGAGAGCAATGGCGGCCTTTATTCGGATCTTCTCTACTCCATCTACAAAGGATAGATAGACAAGCCTACCCATCACCGTCATATCCCAAATACGCCTGATCCCCACCACCCGTCTCTAACTCTAAGCAATTGCTCTTACAGGAACTGTCGGCCTAGTTCCTGTAAACCCATGGTAAACCCCCTATACTCCTCACCCAGGGGTGGGCCTCACACATGCAACAGATGAGCCCCTCATGGAAAAACAGGGTCAAACAGCTGCTGGATGGTGGGAATTCATGGTCCCCAAAGAAGAGTCAAGCTCTTTACAATGAGATATGAGCATGTGGAGCCCATTGTGCAGACCCTAGAGGGCTTAGGACCAGCCTAATCTGCAGAAAGATGAGAACCCAGGCAACTCTTTGTCTCGAGTTCTCTGGTCTGCTTCTGTCTCTCAGTAAAACCTCTCCTCACTTTTTGAGAGAGAAAGGGAGAAACCTGCTACACTTGTTTGATCTCGCTCGTGATCTTACTCAGTCTTCAAGAACACTGCAGGGTTTCTTTCTGACCTGTGGCATTCTCTACTAGTCCCCATCCCTCTCGCATTTGCTACAGCTCCGTGATTTCTAGGCCCTTCTCCTCTGCCTGCCTGCCTGCCAGAACCTGTGTCCAGTGCCTGTCCTGGTCCTGGGCGGTGCACTGGACTGTTTGAGGTGGGGAGGACCCGCTCTAGGAAGAAGCACCTATGGCCATTGAGCACCTTTGATCTTTGAACAATGAGGAAAGCCAGACCTTTCCTCATTTATCAGATGGCTTGCAGCAGACACTTTGAAGTCTATGTTTCAGACTGTTTGGGTCAGCTTTTTCGGATCTCATTGGCCCAAGCTTCAAATCCCCATTTTTCCTGGCCTCTATGCCTTCAATCCTGCCTGGCCCAGTGTTGGAACGTAATGGCTTTGAGTGTACCCTTCCCTCCTCTCTAGCTCAGCACTCCTTGCCTTCCACCACTGGGAATTCCAGCCCAGAACTCTTTTCCCGTCTCCTGAAACCCACATTTCTTCTAAAAACCCCTCTCGCCTTTGCTGTCTGCAGACTTCCTACTCACAGCAGGCCGTGAGTACCACAGGAACTGTGTCACTTGTCCATCATAATCACAGACACTGGATCCAGTGATGCCTATTCTACTAGCATGGTCTCTTCTCAAGATCAGTGAGGAATTCAAACTCATGGGGTGTCTTTTGGGCATCTTTTTATATCTCCTTGGGTGATTCTAATCCAATCCCTGTTGCCCTCTAGCACACCAAGCCCTAAGGAGCAAGTGGCTTGGGAGAGGTGTGATGCCTGGAGTTCAGAGTGCCTGGTACCCACCCTGGACAGTCCACCCCGGTCCAGCCTTAGCAGATTCTTTAATATCCACCGGATGTTATCCTCTGGGGTAACACAGAGGCCTCAACCTGCTTTTCAAGCAGGTTGTCGAAGGCAGAAAAGTGAGAAGACGCACAGGGTCCTGTAAGGAGTGCCACGTGGCTGGTGCTTGAGTCGTGCCCATGTGAACCGTTGCTTTGCGCTTGGGCATTAAAAATAAGTTGAATGATTTCACTGGAAGGGAAACAGTGCTGGGGATGCTCTTTTCAGGGGCAGCGGATGCTCCAGACTTGGTTCACAGCTCCACAGATATCCTGGAGCTAGAGGAGCTCCTACTGCCACAAAATCCTCCACCCCAACTCCCTCTAGGAGAGAGGGGAAGTTGAGAGCCACACAAGAACCACTCCACTGACCTGGAGCTGAGCCTTCAGCTGTTGGTCTGCTCTGCACACTGCAGGGCAGCTTTCTGCAGGGGAATGTGACACCCCAGGAGGACAGTGCTGTGAGAGGCCAGCATCACGGAAACCTGTCCTTCCAGAACACAGCAGGCAGCTGTGCCCCTTCCTCCACCCGACTCCACCAGCCTCATAATAAAGCTCCAGCCAGCGTGCAAGACTTGAGCCTCTGTGTTCACATTGTTTTACTGTGGGTCCTGTGGTCTCCCAGAGCTTCCTGGTGATAGATGGGGGGGTGTCCCTTGGGCCCTGTCCACCCCTGTCCCGTCCCCTCTCCTGACATCAAAGCCTGCGCTGTAATCATCTTCAGGACTGTCCCCGTGTAGGGACCACAGCCTGAAGGACTCTCAAGAAAGCGTTTTGTCTGGCTTTCCACACTCCCCAGGGGCTAAGGTGTGCTGGTTATTTGCTCTTCCCAGAGCCATTCTCACGTTTTCTGTCTCTTGCAAGGAGGCGGCCCCTGTGGACTGCCACTCTAGGGCTCTCTTGCCCCCCTGGCTTCCAGTTCAGCCAGTGGGAGGTGAGACACGGGGAACAGAGCCTGTCTTCCTCATTCGCTCCGTGCTCCAGTACTATATCTCTGGTGGTAACTCTGTCCCCATGACTTGCCCCAGGGCCTCTCTTCAGCGCGGCTCCCACCATGCTTCCTGACATCACTCCTCCACTTTTCCCTTCAGTCCTAGGAGTAGTACTGGCTTCCCACAGTTGGTAATCTAACTCTACCAATCCCCCTCACCCACTCTTTAATGTCCAGTGATGCTTTACCAGCAATTGCCAACTCAAATAGATCCAAGAGTAAAGTGGAACATTGAATTTGGGCAGCTGCTTAATGCAAGCAGGAAGGGCTATGAGTATGTCTGAGTCTGAGGTTGGGAGTGGGCGTGGTGATCAGCTGCAGGGAACAGATATCTCTGGAAGTGGGAGGTCCCTTCTCAGTCCTAGGCTGTGCTAGATAGCCAGCATGGGGGCCAGATCTGCCCCCATGGAAGAGAAGCAGGAAATCTTGACTTCTTCATAAAATATCTTCATTTCTAAATGTAGCTCAAATTTATTAAGCACTCTGTGGCTCTAGCAAAATCTGTCTGCAGGTCACCATCCGCTAGCAGCCTCCGCTGTCAAGCTGTTAGCTCAGTAGGCTCTGCCAGACCTTTCCCTGCACCCTCACAACTCTCTTTGCTGGAAATGGCTTTTGCTGATTCTTTGCCTAAAAAAGTCCTGTTCCCTCAAGAATAGAATGATGCTTCCTTTTCTCTCTGAGGCCTTCCCAAAGCCCCATGAGAAAATAGTCCCTCCCTCCCCAAGGCAGCCAAAACACTTCATGGAGAATTCTGCTGGAATGCTTGTCTCATCCTGCTGGACTCTTTGTTCCTCCTGAGATGCTATGTACCCCAAGTCATCCTGTGCCCCATGTAGTGAGTTTCTCAAGGTTAAGAACATCTGTTCTACACATCTTTATAGCCCAAGCATCAAGTCCAACACCTGAGGTATGCTAGGTAAGACAATAATATGAAAAGGATGAAACAACCATATATACTGGGATATATTTCTGATCCAGTTGAAGATGGTACATCAAAATGCAGAAGATGGTGGAAATGAAAATACTGGGCTTGTTTCAACCAGCATGTGTTTCTAGAGGACCAGCCCCCACATGGCCCTTGGTCATCAATAAACGCTCCGCATCTGCTCCAGTGCTAACTGTACCTTACCTGTCCAAGCCTTCCAGGGTGGACTCACCCTTATGCAACCCATGGAAACTGACAGGCACCCCACACCCATAGCAAAACACGCTGGGCTCAGAGCCACTAGCGAGCCTGCTCCTTCAGGAATGGTCAAAGTTGATCACAACTGAGGAAGCTATACAAAGACAATATTACTGTGACCACATGGAAACAGCCGATGTGACCTCCCCAACTAACATCCTAAGACACATCTCTAGAACAAAGTCTTTTACTATGAGAGCCACTCTATAAAATTGGTAGAGAAAACTGATTTGCCGAATACACAAGTATTATCACAAGGACACAAGAACCAGAGAAGGCAAGGTAATACAGGGCCCCCAAGGCAACACAGTAACTCTGTCAACAGATCCCAAAGAAAAAGAAGGGAACCTGAAAAAATTCAAAATAATAATTCTAAGAAAAGGCAATGAAATGTAAGAAAATGCAAACAACCCAATAAAACAGAAAAACAATCATTATCCCAATGAGAAATTTAACAAATAAATAAAGATTATATTTTTAAAAAAGAAAAAACCCAAACAAGTCTTGGAGGTAAAAAAACTCAGTAAGTGAAATAAATAGTCAAAAGCCTCAGCAACAAACTAGATCAAACAGAAGAAAGAATTTTTGAATTTGAAGACAGGTATTTTGAAATAGCCCCATTAGAGAAAAAAATCAATAAAAAAACGCATAAAAACTACTAGACTTACAGGTTATCATTAAGTGTAAAATATTTGCATTATGAGTTTTTTGAAGGGAGAAAAGAAAGAAAAAGGCATAGAAAACCTACTTTAAAAATAATCCATGATAATTTCCCAAATACAATCATACAAAT